TCTTCTTCTTCTTCTTCTTCTTCTTCTTCTTCTTCTTCTTGTGTCTTTTGTTGAGTAAAAACGCTCGCAGCCATGCGGGTGTTGAACTCTGCACCTGCGTCACGCACTGTTCCGCTCCACGGGTCAAGTCAGCCCGCAGGACCTCTCTCTCTCTCTCTCTCTCTGTCTGTCTGGGTCTGTCTACCTCTCTCTGTCTCTCCCTGCATGTTTTCTTTCTCTTCTCATTAGATTTTTTTTCTACTCTACTTTTCTCAGTGAGTCTCGTGCTCTCCTGCTATTAACGCACCGGTGGTGGAGCCCCACCACAGAAAAGGAGGCTGCGCCCGCAAGGCACAATCCCTATTCTGTCTGTGTGTGTGTGTGTGTGTGTGTGTGTGTGTGTGTGAGAGAGAGAGAGAGAGAGAGAGGGAGAGGGAGAGTCTTTGGAAATCAGGGCCTCACTGGCTGCACTGAAAATGCAGGCAATTATCTCCATGGAATAAGATGTCTGTGTGTGTGTGTGTGTGTGTGTGTGTGATAGTACCACTAACCATATAGTAAGGAATATTAAAGGAATATTTCATTTTTTTTCTGCTGTGTAAGATTCAGGATCAGACGTCAATAAGCCAACATTATCAATGGAACTGCAGTTAATTCACTGTCGAAACGGACTTTTAAATCCATCAGTTACTACGTTTTTCACGGTTTCCAAAGTGGTTTAAGTGAGTTTGACTTGAGTTTGAGTTTAGCATCAACCTCCTCAGAGCAGACGTCTGTTGCATAATGCTTTGTATTCGCACAGAATAAGAATAAGAAATCAAAAATATTTTTCCTTGCAAACCTTAGCAGCAAAAATTAAAAGTAAAATAATAAAAGTCTAAAAGGGTAGCACAACAGTAGCTTATATAAATATATCTGGGGGAAAAAAAAGACCTAAAAGTTAGCCAACGGTTCAAATCAACATGTACAAAAAAGCCAAAAAACTAGAGTTTGCCAAATTTATACCAATGTTTGTCAAAACTGTACCTCAAATATTGAAATCAAATAGTCGTATTAGCTGAATCTTAAAGATCTATCTACTTTAAGGTATTGATTAGTTTAAAAAAAAACATATAGCAAGACATTATCCAAACACCATTATAATTACAATTACAGAGAGGACAAACAGAAAAGAGAAGTCATAGCAAAAATAGCCAGGTTAATTAACTGATGTTAGCTAAAAATGTAGCAAGATTAGCTCAAAGCATAGGCCACTTAAATAGCTAATAATCTGCCAAAATATTTAAAAAGGTGACTTAAAGTTGGGCCCCGACTGCCCCCCCCCAGCTAAGGAAATGTCAAGTCATAGGTAAATTGGTCACGTAGAAGCTAAAAGGTAGCTAGAATGTGTCAAAACAAGGCAAAGGTTAGCCAGGGATGATGGAGCTACGACCGAGCACCGGAAACTTTTCTTAATAGATGTCAAAAAGGAGCTTGATTTTGACCTGGCAGAGGCGGCGTGTGAGACGTGTGTTAATATTTAATGAAATAGGTAAAGGTTTACGGCCTGTCGTGGT